CCTGTCCTTTGTCTTGTCTGTGTAAGTTGTAGGCTCTCCAGGGCAAGGATTGCCTCCATGTGTGTTTTGTAAAGTACCTGACACAATGTGGTCCCTGTCTTGGCTAGAGCTTTTGAGCCTGACAGCAGTATAAATGACTGGCTTTCAGATTTGTTGATATGGTGATGTGGTTCAGATGTGGTTATGTGATATGCTTGCATGAGAGCAAGCCAGTGTTAATGTATGCAGAGTTACTCACCTCATTACTTAAATCAGTGCTTCCATGATGTCTTCATTAATCACTTCGCTGTGCCTGGGCCCACGGGAAGTACAGATAAGGGACAGCTAGTCCATGAGTGTGCTACAAAGAAAAGTGTAGCCAGGCGGCTAGTATACTGATATGCCACCTTCCCTTCACGTCCCTGTTGCAGAGACCGCCCAGCAGCTCCTCCACCCCTTTCCTGTCCCCAGGCCAGCAGGAGAGGAAGACTTTTAAACTCTAATAATCTGGCCCTGCTTGTCCCTACAGTAGTGCTTATTTTATTGTGCAGCACAGTTTGAACATGCTGGGATTTTTTTGTCTGTATTCTGAGAGTGGGTTTGAGAATCTTACCGGGCCCAGCTGGTGATCAGGCTTATTTGCCAGTCAGAGGCTAATAGCAGCGTACAGTTGCACTCGTTCCCTCTCGGTGAGAAGCCAAGGGATGGTATAACGTGATGAAGAAAGTCTTCTGGGTTTGGCAGGAGCAGCTGTCTGAGGGTAGAGATGTTCATCAGGATGCTGAGTTTCACTCTCCTGATGTCCAAATCTGCCAGAATCCTTGACCTGTACCTGATGATGGTGATCAGCAGTGCCATATCCGGGCACCATGTTCACCCTTGGAACCAAATCAGCTTCTGGTGCAGCAAATCCAACATCTGGATTATTTCTCCCTCCATGCCTTCTGGCCCCTCTTGGTCTGTTGTTGCAAGAGCCCTTCCCTGAGCAACTCCTGTTGAGAACAGATTCCCATATCTTTCCTGGATATGGAGAGAGGTGGCTGGAGTGCCTGGCTGGGTCCACTCTGTTATTTTGAGGGTGGCATGTGGGATTGCTTTTTCCATGGGGATGAAGCTGGATGTATCGAACGCAATATAAATAAAGGTGTGGCCTCATCCTTTTCAGTGGCATAGTACTGAATTAACAGGGTTAAAACTCACGTGGAGGAAGATGGTGTGAGATGGCACAGCCACATTAACAGTGGGTATGGTTACTCGGGGTTTCTAGTAACCCCTTCTCCTGAGCCTGGAAGATACTTTGGTGTCTTGTTGTACCCATTAAGCAGTCAATTCTGAGATGGTTTCTTTCTTTTTTTTTTTTCTTTCCAGCACACTAATGAGCTCTTCTACTTTCTTCAAACGGTTTAATTAAATCGCAAGAGCTGGAGTCCTAATTATCCTTTCCCATGTAAGAGGTAAAGAGCTTGCCTTTAGAGAGTAGCTGTTGGCCAGAATCCAGTGGAGGTAAATCTCCCCAGAGCAGACTGAATCTGGGTTGGTATTTACTTTCCTGAAGGATAACAGCCGTTTCAAAATGGTATTGTAGAGAGCTGTTCCTTGTGGACTGTTTTTTCTTTTTCTGGCTGAGTGGAAATCAGCAGCAGCAAAGGGGGGGGGGGTTGGGTAGTGGAGGGAGACTAGGTCCAGTATTGCCTTTGCAGAGTGTGTTTTTCTAAGAAGACCTAATTCAGTAGCTGAGTCGGTGCATCTGGCATATGCAGAAAGCTGCACTGGGGCATGAAAAAATTACTGATGCAAATTTAGACCTGATTTGTGCTGGGGATTTGCTTGGACATCAGCCATGCATTCCCCTTGCATAGATGGACTAAATTCTGTTTCATGCTGGCGCCAGGTAAGATGCACAGAGCAAATTGCAGGTTTCTGTCTGTCTGCAAAGGGTTTGCCCCTGTGCAGCAACACATAGCTAGAACTGAGGCAGAACCTCAGTGCTGGAAAGATTTAAATAGGCTGTTTTTTTCCCTTTTAAGACATTGCTGCTTCTGGAATTTACATTCCTGGTTTTTAAATAAAGGCTTCAGTTAGTGAGGAAGGAATTACAAAGAGTTGAAGCAGGTGATGTTTGTTCCTGGTATTCATGGGGCACTTGTGGTAGTACCTGCGGACACTTTCCTTTGAGTAGTAACACTGTGGAGCACTTCTCATCTGTAAATCTCAGACTAGCTCAAAGCTTACTGTCCCCCTAGATGAGGGGAAAATGAGGCTTTGGGGAGATAAGTGACTTACCCATGGCTCCTCAGTGACTTGGTGGCAGAGTTGTAAATAGCACCCTGTAGTGCCTGATCCATTGGAGAGTGCTGCCATAAACACTGGAGCAGGATTAATGGTTGCAAGCCCAGGGCTAAAGGCCCTCCAGCCCTGTTTGCAGGTCCAAGGGTCTGTACAGCTTGGTGTTCGTGACTCTGCTTGCAACGGTGTGACCCTCACTTGGATAGACTTTAAGTTAGCCCCATTGAACTTGCTCCTCTTCACACTGCACAAACATTTGCTTCCAGATGGGGCTGTGGCACAGAGTTGACCACAAAGGGACTTGCCCTGGAAGAAATAGTTGGGCATGCCTGGGGCAGCGTTTTGAAAGTGTGGGCTCGCTTGAGCTGGGTGCCAGTTACTTGCAGCAACACAACAGACTTGGCTCTGGGTGAGCCCCTCTGTGTCCCTAGCTAAAGCTTGGATGGGGTAGACTTCAGATATGGGGACTTCCTGTGATGAACGAGCTGCCTTCAAACTTGGTCAGCAAGACAGCTTGCAGGCATGTTTTGGCTGTGAATGGGTGGCTTGGGAGAGCAGAATGGCAAGAGGTGGTGCCTGACAGCCAGGTCCAATCATCTATGGCTTTGTAAATGGGACTGTGCAAGGCAGCTTCCAAGTGAGATTCATAGTGAAGCACAAGTTGCATATCCTTTTGCAGCCCCCTCTGCATATAAGATGGGTGACCTTGTTCAATGCCAGCTGAAATATCTCTAGTGGCTTTCCCAGGTCCTTCCTTGATGGACTAAATTACGGCCATCCAAACAACAGGTGCCAATGGCCAAATTGACCATTATGTGATCCCAGAGGTAGTGAGTTTGAGGCCATAGCAGGAGCACTCGTGGTTTGGAATCCAGCAAATCTGCAAATTGTGCAAAATACTTTGTCACAAGGACACAAAAAAGGAAGGAAGATCTGTGGCTGAGAGGGACATGCACAGTTTTGTGGCAAAGCAAAAGGTGGAGGGTGGGGAAACTTGTAGCTGGCTGTATTCTGCTATCTGAGTATCCAGGACCAGAGATGAGTTTCCTAGGACTGCAGGGTTATGCGTGGGTGAGAAAACAGACGCTTCTAATTAAGGGAATCATCACATGCTTTGCTAGCTCCTTGAGATGCTAATTTAGATCTGTAATTTAACACTCCAGTGTATGTGTCTGTCTTTTAACGCAATGTTGTCTGGAACGTGCCTCCTAGGACTTCCTGCACACAGTTCCCTCTCTGGAACAGTGTTAATTCATTGGGTTTCTTTGCTCTTCCTTGTTCCTCACATTTGCAAGGAGACAGCTTGAGAATGTCTGTAGAATTGATGCAGACACCAGCAGGAGCCCTCGATTCAGCAGGGCCCCTCGCAGTTGTGGCATTGAGGCTTTCTAAAGTGACTCTAATCAGTTTAAATTTCAGTGGCATTGATAGGTGCTCAGCATTTTCATTTGCTAAATGGATTTATTGGTGCAAAAGGTACAAGGAGCCTCTGCTGAGAAACAGGTTTTCGGAGCCTTTTCATTTTGCTCTGTTGAGGCAACTAATAGGCTTGTCAACATACACCTTCCCTTCTCTTGGCGCTTTGACCGTTTAACTTTTCTTCAGGAAGTTTCCTCTTGCATGCCATGTTCTCTTCAACAATGAAGGCTTCGTTCATATAGTTGACAGGGGTGTAGGTCTAAGGACTTAGGCAGACAAGGTTATTTGGGTAAATCTGATAGTTTTTTAATTAGAACAACTCAAATAGTTGGAAAAATTTTTCTTTGCAAGCTTTTGTGTTTAAATACCCTTCGTCAGGCTGTGGAAGCATCTGCAGTTGGTGTGTGCTCTCTTAAGCCTGGACATAAGTCTTACAAACCTAAGCAAATGCTTTCTTGATTGTGGATATGTGTGTTTAATTCAGTGGTTCTTAACCTTTTTATGCCCAAGGCACCCCGGATAGATTCAAGGCACCCTTTGGAAAATGCCAGCTCAAAGTTCTCACTTGTTTTTTGATTATAAAAAAAAAAAAAAAAAATATGAGAGCAATTCTGTTGCAAAGAACTCAGACCACAACAGACCAGATTGTGTTTTTAACGCTCCAGATTTGTGTGTGAAATCTTTGGGTCTATCACGTGAATCAGGTTAGAACGGTTAGGTTTGCAAACACTGTGCAGCACCCTAGGAAGGACCTCAAGGTGCTCCGGGGTGCCATGGTGGCCTGCTTGAGAATCACTAGTCTAATCCCATCTCACAGTTCCCTCTATTTTCTCTCAGTCTAAACCCTCTCATCATGCTTCAGGCTTCCCCTGTGCACTTGGATTCATTCCTACCCTAAGACAAAGGTTGACTGTGTTCTGTTGTATTTTATTCTCTCCCAAACCAGTCTTGCCAACCAAACTATGGGCACATCATCCTGAAACGTTCTTGGAAGCTCTCCCCTAATTACCTGCACTGAAGCATGTATCCTGGAGCATGTTGCAACCTGTGCTCTAACAAATAGGACTCTCAGCTTAAGAGCACTGGTTTTGGACCGTTCAACTCCATGTACCCAGACAGACTAACTGAATGGCTTGGATCCACGCTGGCTGCAGTAGAACGCCAGCGTGCTTGTCAGATGTGATGGAAGCCACCATCCTCTTGTATCTAAGCAAAACTAATTACTGATGAGAAACCAGGGCTAAATGCTTTATTTTCAAAGCTGAACTGCTTACATTCTTTTAACCATATCCTTTTTTCTTATGTGTATCTTGCAGTGATGCAGAAAGCCGAAAATTATGCAAGAAGATGAAAGTAGATCCCAGCTCAAAGGAGAAAGGAGTGGAATTATTGCATTATAAGTGAGTGTGGGACTGGGGTGAAAGAGGCCCTCACTAATTGTCCAAGCTATTTATGAGCACGTGGCATTCACTTATTGTTAGTTCTGTCATATAGTCTTTCCCCCAGTGCAGAGGCTTATTACTGTATTTACTTGAATTCAAAATGACACTTCCCCTCCCTGGCCTTCGAGCCTCATCTTGGAGTTGAGCACTGGCCTGGGTCATGCAGCGACTCGGCTCCAGTTTTGTCCCTGGCCTTTGGGCTGAAGTCAGAACTGAGGTGCTGCCTGCTGTGGGCTCAGATGGCTCATTTGGTGGGGGAGCCAGCTCACAGATGGGGGAGCACAGGGGCGACTGGGGGCAGGGAGAGGAATGGGGACACCTACCTAAGTGAGTACCAGAGAGCATGGGGAACACTGCAGTCTCCAGCTACCCCCTTCTCTCCTTACCTTCTGCTCTGGTTCTGGTCCTTCCAGCCCCAGTCTGACCCAGCTGGGAGCTTCTGCTTCTTTCTGGCCAGGCTAGGCTGGGTCAGGGCTGTGCTACTGCTGACTGCCCCAAAGCTGAAGTGGAGTTAGGTGGTGGTGGTGGGAGAACAGGTGAGGGGGCAGGCTGCAGGAGGGATGTACAAAGTTATGGGGGCAGAAGGTTGCAGTGGGGGAAGGCGGGCAGCTAGGGAGGCCAAGGGAGCAAGATCCTTCACATGGGGTCCAACTGTGGGGCTGGATCCCACAGATCTAGACATATGGTAGCATTGGAGTAGCAATTAACGCTGGCACTGCTTCCCTGCCACCAAATTTCCAGACCCGTGAGCCCTGATGACATGAGCTTGTGGGCTGGATTTGGCCTCAACAGAGACTGAGTACCACTGGCTTAAGGGGTTGCTTTCAGTAGGGATTATGCACATACCTACATGAATACAGGTAACAGGGGAGGAAGTATGACCTAGTGGACAGATTGCTGGACTAGGACTCAAGAGACCTGTGTTCTACTCCTGGCTTTAGCACTGCCTTTCTGGGTGGCTTTGAGTTTGTCATATCACCTCTATGCACCTGCTTTTCTCCTTTAATCTTGCCCCACCCCCGGGTCCCTCTTAGTGAAGCACTTGGAGAGCTGCTGATGGAAACTGCCATTCCTGGAGTTAGATTGCCTTCTTATGCATCATAAAAGTAGGGATAATGCAGCTATACAGGGTGCTGAGCAGCTGTCTCTCCCAAGATCATGCCTTTAGTAAATGCTCTCATTAAGGCTTCAGAGAAGAAATTATTCATTAGAGGCCTGTTTGCTTTAAGCTTATTTCTACCTCCCCCACCTCCCCCCTTCTTTAAATTGCTTTGCATTACATTTTGCACAATTCTGTGACTTCGGTGGGTTAATTTATTCTGGAGAACAAGGTGTCAGGGAGAGGGGGGAACAGCTGTATGATTTTTTCAGAAAGATTCCTGAAAGTTCACTGTTTCCCTGTTCCTCATTCAACAGGGATGGTGCATTTCATACTGAATATAACAGAGCTGTCACACTAAAGGTAAAGTTAAATATGTGAATTTTTTTGACACTGCAGAGGAGGGGAAGGAGTGGGAGGAACATCTCTGGACAGATGTTGACACTCTGTTTCATGTTACAGGGGCATGGGGTAACTTTCATCAACAGCTGTTAGGGGAAAAAACCCTTTAGGTCATTCTGTCTACGTGCATCTGTCAGTCCCAGATCCAGAAAAGCTGTGTGCGCTTAAGAAGATTGAACCTGTGTTACATTGCGTAAATTGTGACTTTATTTGCAAACTGGTATTACACAGGGCGTTGTTTTTTCCCCCTGCCAGATCCTATTGATAGTTGGCTGTAACTAATAGCATTAGCTGGACAGCTTTTATGGAAGGGATTTCCCTGTTGTTTTAGCAGTTATCAGCCATAAAGAGAGCAATGAAATGGCCTTTTCTTTCATCTGATTATGGAGCCTCAATTCATATGACTATACCCCGAGCACAGCAGGAACGAAATGACCATCTTCCTTTGCATAAAGCAATGGGAATCAAAATTCTATGGGGACAATAAAAGAAGGAAAAAAACATGTCAGTGACCTAAAACAGGGGTGGGGGGGACAGGGGACAGAGGGATTTTGTTGCTCGTAGAAGTAATAGGCTAAATGCAGGGTATACTAAGCAGAAACTGTACAGCCTTCCCTTGTGTTTTGCTACTAGCTGGCAGGGGGGCTGGCAACAGCTTGTTTGCACTGAGCAAATGGTTACCCTGAGATCAAATTGACTAAATCAGAAGACATACAATCTGTACATGGCCATAGCTTAGACCAGTGTGTAGTTATTGCTGCCTCTGTGAGGGGTAACTTGACTGGACTGGAGTGACTTCGAGCAGTATAGGACTGTGGGGTATATGTCTACTCTACATTTGCGAGACAGTAAACTTGCTGTGTCCGCAGGGGTGGCCAACATGTGGCACACGCAGCCTATACGTGTGCTATGCAGCAGGCCAAGGAGGGGATAGATAACACAGTGGCAGATAAGTCAGGAAGCAGAAAATAGAGCAGCAGATCAGGCAAGAAGCACAGTTTGGGAGCAGAAAGAGGACCTTCCCCAACTAAATCATCCCTGCCAAGGCTTTGTCTACCCAGGTCTTAAAAACCTCCAAGGATGGAGCTTCCACCACCTCTGAGTAACCTGTTCCAGTGTTTTACTACCCTCCTAGTAAGAGAGTCCATCCTAATATCCAACTTAAACTTCCCTTGCTGCAACCTGAGCCCATTGCTCCTTGTCTTGTCATCTGCCACCACTAAGAACAATCCAGCTCCATCTTCTTTGCAGCCCCACTGCAGGGAGTTGAAGGCTGCTATTAAATCCCCACTCAGTCTCCTCTTCTGCAGACTAAACAAACCCAGTTCCCTCAGCCTCACCTCATAAATCATGTGCCCCAGCTCCCGAACCATTTTTGTTGCCCTCTGCTGGACCCTCTCCAATTTGTCTACATCCTTTATGTAGTGGGGGGGCCCAAAACTGAACACAATACTCCTGATGTGGCATCACCAGTGCTGAATAGAGGGAGATAATCACTCCACCTGATCTGCTGTCAACACTCCTATCAGTGTAGCCCAGGATGCTGTCAGCCTTCTTGGCAACAAGGGCACACTGCTGGCTCATATTGAGCTTGTTGTCCACTGTCACCCCCAGGTCCTTTTCTGCAGAGCTTTTGCCCAGCCAGTCAGTCCCCAGTATATTTTGATGCAGGGGATTGTTCCATCCTAAGTGCAGGACTTTGTACTTGTCCTTGTTGAACCTCATGAGATGCCTTTTGGCCCAGTGCTCCAATTTGTTTAGGTCACTCTGAATCTTAGCCCTGACCTCCAGCATATCTACTACTCCCCTCAGCTTAGTGTCATCTGCAAACTTGCTGAGGGTGGACTCCATCCCATCTTCTAGATTATTGATGAAGACATTGAACTAAACCAGCCCCAGCACTGACCCGTGGGGCACTCCACTTGATACTGGCTGCCAACTAGACATTTGAGCCATTGATTACTAGCCTCTGAGCCCAATGCTCCAGCCAGTTTTCTGTCCACCTTACAATCCATACTTCCAGTTTGGCAGCTCGGTAATGCCCACAGAAGGAGGGTCCTGATCCCAGCAGAGGCATAACTATAAATGTTGGTGCCCAGGACAAAACTTTGGGGATAGGAGAGGGCAAGAACTCCTTTATCACCTCTGGAATGGTCTTGTGCTCCCCTCTCCATCCCCCTCTACCCACCTGTAGGAGCCAAGCTAGAGAAGCCCAATTCTGCTCAGCTCCAGGAGGGTGCAGGACTGCTGTAGACATGGCAAAGACTCTGGTGGTGAGTGGGCATCATTCTGGTACCCTTCTCTGTCAGTGCCCAGGACTGGTGCCCCTCTTGAACCTCATGGGTCCCAGTACAGGTGGGAGGGAAGATGCTCTTGCTCCAAAGGCCATGCACTTATCTGTCAATTAATTCATTAAATTCACCAGTTGTCCATTAATATATATTTTTAAAGAGGAGTTTGATTATACATCAGAAGTCAGCGTCAATCCACTTCACCTGCTGCTAGCTTTGCTACTCTGATTTCTATTTTAAAGTTCTTTCTTTCTCTACATCCGTGGTTCCTAACCTTGTTAGGCTCAAGGCACCTCTCATGGCAGCTCTTAGTTTTCATTCATTTTTTGACTGCATAAAAATAATAGAGCAATTCTTCTGTTGCAGGGAACTTAGGAAGACCACAACAGGATACAGTGTTTTTAACACTAGGGATTCTTATTTCACCTTTCTGGGTTTATCTTATAGGAGGAAATGGCTGTTTAGCCTGAAGTCAGCCAGAAGGCAGGGCAGATATGCTCCTTTTTATAGGGCTTTCATAAACCCATCTAATGAAGTGAACTTGGGTTCATGAAAGCTTGTCTCCGTCTCCTAATAGAGAGAGGCATTGAGGCACTGAATGTCTGGATTTGGTCTGGCTGCTGGATTCTGTCTCAAAAGGGGCTTAAAGGGGGTGGTGATAGATTTAGGGCAGCCTCCAGTCCTCCATACACTTGCCTAGGCGTACACATCAAAGCCCTTGCTGCGATGGTCAGAGCACTCTGTAAGGGACATAAGGAACCTGAGGCAATTACCCAAATGTCCAGGCAGCCCGTTTTAGGAGTAGCCTGCTTGCCTCCCTTGAGAGAGGTGCTAGAAAAAATCCATGGCCCAGCCCGAGAGAGAGAGACTAGGTTGGGGCATGGATTTATTTGGAGGCACCCCAGGGTGCCCTGGCACCTTGCATAAGAATCACTGTTCCATATGGTCTGCTTTCTCCTCCTCTTGTTGTCTTGCATATGCTGTGACCAAAACCTTCTCAACTGCATTTCAGTTGAGAATTTCTAAGTACACTGCAAACATTAACTCAGCCATGCAGCAACCCTACTCAGAAGACGCTATATAGATGGGCAGGCTGAAATGTAGGAGGCTAAGGGACTTTTTCCATGTCACCCAGCAACAGGTATCTTATTCTTAGTCTTTTGCTTTCACCAACAGATTACCCAACCTCACTTGCAGCCTTCCAAAGTATAAGGCAGATGCTCCATGAACACATGTCTGAACATAAAGTCTTCACTCTAGGATCAGGCACAAGGAACGTTTTTCTCCTGACAGCAAAAACTCGTTAAAACCCAAACTTTTTCAGTACAAGTAAAGGGAATAGATAGAACCAGGAACCCACTAAATTAGTTCTGTTGTAAGCCCTGAAATGTTTTAAAGCTTGCTTTTGTAAGTCCCTCTTTTTAAAAACCAAAAGGTCCATGTGTCTGATCAAGAGGATAAGCCTCTCTCTTATTAGCATCCCTACTGCATTATAGCTTGAGGGAACAAAGTGCAGGAATTTGCTTTCCGAGCATGGCTAGTTATCATCTTTATATAGTTATCATTATTTATAGCTAACCACCGTGTTTGTTCCATCATGCTATAAAACATGGTTTGTCTGGTCTACACTGCAAGATGAAACAGTGTTCCTGACCTCTGCTCCATCAGTATTACCCAACAGCTTTGAACTTTTATTTCAGGAACACAGGTAAAACACAGCTTGGTTTTGGTCTCTGCTGCAAAATCAAAGTGTGTGGCGTGTTTCTTTCCAGGTCTTTTTTTTACCACCTTATGCCCTGTCAGTGTTGTAACTGATTCTCTCAATGTGGTGGTTGCTATGTTATGGACTGGTCCTTGCTCTGATCTTTAACTATTGGAGTGCAAGAACCTTTGTAGGAAAGCGTTTTTTTTTCTTTTTTTTGTTCTTATGATTAACCTTTTGCATTTCCTGTGTGCTTTATTTAAAAATAAATAAAACCTTCACAGAGCAGAGGAATAAGTGAAGGGCAATACACTGCCTGGCCTTGCCAGAAATCATTACACATCTTTCTTTTATTTTTTTTTCTGGCAGAGAGTGAGAGACTGGATGAATTTAAATCTCCCTCTCTCTAATCTCCCCATCCTCTAACAGCATCTGTTGCTACATGGCTGAACTTCGCAGACGGGGATTTCTGAAACTAGAGTAGTCAATCACACTCATTAGCAGCTCAGAGACTGACCCCTGTCTCTCTTCCCTTGTGTATATCTGAGATTTAGGCACTGCCTAGTCCGGGCAGAGAGAGCACTACTTGATGGGACGTTCTTAGCTGCAGTGCATCTCCCTTGCCTTACATGGAGCATGTTACTGAGCCTTGTCCAAACTGGTTGGGGCTGGACAGGCTGTTATGGCTATAGCAACTTGATCCTGTTTTATATTAGAGCCATGTTTTAGAACATGGTTTGTCCTGCTTAGATGGGACCCATGTGTTACCATCAGGCAAAAAGCATGCTGCTACTTTTACAAGTGCCTGTGCAAAAACAGCGCTTATACTCTGCAGGTCTGCGCATTGGCTCTGTATGCTGACTTCAGGGACTAGAATATGCTGTCAACTGAGGGTTTTTTAAAATTTGTGGGTTTTTTTTTTTTTTTTTTTTTTTTTGTTTACTCCTCGTAGCTCTGCAGTGGCAACTCCTACCATAGCTTGAGCCAGAATCTGTTTCTTCTTGTCAGTTTATTATTTTCCTCAGCTTCCATCAGTAGCACCTGGGCAGCCCCACTGAAAGCAAAAATTGCCAAGGTGTCACTGACCTTGCCTGGACTGGAATAAAAGCTGTATTAATACATCAATTAATACATGTGCAAATCAATTCATGGATTTGCAAAGCCTGTTCTAGGCAAGTCCTTAACATGAGCTTAGCTGACTGGGCATCAGTCCAGACTTTGATTTGACCAGTTCATCATGTGTTGTAACGTATGTGGCAATGGCAGCAAGAGTGTTCAAATAAAGATCTTGCAGGGGCAGGTTGCTCATGCCTGAGATCAGAAGATCTACAGTGCAACTCCTTTTCTTTGCTGCTGCAGCAACATCCATTAATCATGTCCACAAAAAGAGAAGGCCGTCTGCACTTAATGTAAGAAGAGAAGAAGTCAGTTTCCTGCCTGTTTTGTCATTCTACAGGGCAGCAAGGGACAAGGGAACTGGGTTGTTTTTGTGTGAAATCCATGCTTATTCCACCCCCCTTGAGCACTGACATTACAGCAACAGCAATCATCATGGGTTGCTCAGGTCTCCAATGCCAAAGTTGGTTGTGTCACAGCTCACAAAGGAGGCTGGACATAAGTGAAATCCTACCTCTGTTAAACTCGATATCAAAATTACCATGGTCTTATCTTGACCCATTTCACCCATGGCCTTGAGTTGTAGCTGACACCCCTTGGGCTAACTTCTTTCGATATGACCAAATATCTGTGATCTGCCAAATCTGCATCAGCCCTGGAAGATGTTCTGCATGTATGTTTGTTTAAACCTTAAGCTCATATGTTATGGAATATCTAACCATGGTGTAAATGGAATTTTTTTTGTGTTATTCCCAGCTGGCTTCTTTCCTCTTCTGATTCCTTGTTACACCCTGGCTGAAATTAAGGTGTAAGCTGAGTTAGGCGGAAAATGGCACAAGGAGGAAACTAGCAAAATAGTCTTTCTCAGACCAACTAAATTTTAGTCCCCAAGCTCTAGAGTGTGATGCTCTTCATAGGAATAGCATCTTACTCTCTGAATTGGTCCCAAACTGAAGAAGGGTGTGAGAATTTGCATGGCATAGGAAGCTAGGCCAGGGAAACAGATGTGGAGGGGCTGCAATGCTGCTGAAGGTGGGGCAGTTGAGGCCCCATGCACAGCTGCCACACTTCTCTCTACATTCAACATGTAGAGGACCCACATCTGTCATACCTTCCCCTCCTTAGAGGGAACAAGTGCCAGTGAGCTGTGAGTCATTCAAGGAGCGTAAACTTTCCACCAGGCCCACAACTCCACTCTTTGTCCTAAGGAACTTCTGCTTCCTAGAGGTTATGGCTGCATTGGTCTTACCTAAAGCCAGCTAGTGCTAGGGCAGAATAGCAATGGCTGTTACTTGAGGGAGAATACACAGTGTGGAAGGATGGGGTTCAAGATGGTGCCTGTCTCCTATTTTGTTTTAGTTTTACATTTAAGGGCCCATTTCTTTCCATTCATTGCAGTCCATGGTGGCCTTTCTAAAGGATCCAGAAGGAGCTCCATTGTGGGAGGAGGATCCGGAAGCCAAAGATATTGTACATGTCGACAGTGAAAAGGTATTTTGAACATACAGGCATGGGACATTGGTGAATGTAACATTGTTAAGGAGCATCGATATAAGCCCTATTGTCTCCCTTCTACTGAGGAGGAAACTAAGGCAAGAGTTAAGTGATTTGGCCAACTCAAAGACCTGTTCACTATGGAGCCAGATCTCCTCACTCCGTCTGAGCTGTACTCAGCACCCTGCTGCTGGGTAGAGACCTTGCCTGGGATTTCTTCTTGCTTGGCATTCAATTTAAATACACCCAAAGATCTGTCCCTGTCATGAGGAGTTTGGGGCACATCATAAATGACCTCTAAGATGCTTAATCAGGGCTCAGGTCCCTGAGTCCCAAAGATCCAAATCAGCTCTTCTCACTGGACGTGCCACCACTTAAGTGCCTAGATGCATTAGTCTTCTCCATTTTGGCCCAATACGGTCACTAGTTGTCTAGACTTGGGCTGCTGGACATGTTCAGAAGTCACCCTGAGTAGTTACTTATGTGATTTGGTCCCACCTAAGCTCTGTTGCAAGTTAAACTGGTCTGGGTGTGCAATCTGCGCCCAAAGTCTTAACCCCCATGAAAGAGCCAAGAGTATGCACACTGCTTGATACAAAATGATGGCAGTGAAGTAGTGGTGGTGCCCACCTTTTACCCAGTAGCCTGGATGACTGGCTGATCCCAGCCAACTTGGTCTCCCAATTCACCGTGTAGAGGAAGCAGAAATACCTTGTCTCATTTACTAGATGTCCCTGGGGACAAGACACCCACGTTTTAGGTGTTGTAGAAGGTAAGTGGTGGCACTTTGGAGATGGATTAAGATCTATCCTTTAGAGCGGGAGAGAGGAAATTTTATCTCCGTTTCCAGGGTTGTCATTAAAGCGCTGAGATGGCCATGCAGAATGTTTTTGGCAGAGGCAGGAACTGCTGACCCCAGTTTTCCTGTGTCTCAGCCCATCACTGTTGGCCCTTTTCTCTCATTTCAGTGGGAAGTTTCATCCCACCTTTAAAAGGCCAGGGTCATTGTAGTGCTAACTGCGATTTCCTCTGTAATCATCATTTTGGTGTTTTGTATTATTTTCCAGTCTTATTTTCCAGTCTATTGATTTTAAAATTTTAATTGATTGGTCTCTAGCTGGTATTTTGTAGAGAGCGTTTCCAATTTTCTACCTTTTTGTTTTTGATATTGAGAACAGTTATTTTGACATTCAGTTTTTGTAGGAAGATTAATTTTTAATGTTCACCTTTTTTGTACTCTATTATAAGCTCTCATGGGGTCGCATTCAATTTAAAAACTTCATTTGGTTTCCCTGCCATGCCAGCACTAGAAAAATCTATTCTTGTGGCCTCTCATGGCCCAGCTTTAGGTTTCACGGTGTGGAAACTAAACCTGTCCCAGTTTTTCATAGTCTGACCTCCTCAAATCAGGGTGTAGGTATCTTTTGAGAGGGCTAGGGAGGAAAATGTGTCTAATTATAAAAACTTTGAAAGCTCTATGGACCAACAATAGTAAAGCTCCCACATCTTAGCCCTGAAAATTTACCTCAATGTATTTTGGGAATATTTGAGCCCCATGATGATTTGTATTAATCCCACTAAGCTGGAGCTGAGTGGAAAGAAGTGATTTAAGTTCTGGCTGTTTGCGAGATTTGTTTTTATTCCTTAACTAATTGAGTAAACAAGCAGGAGTGTCTTTGAATATTATTAACCTTTATTTTTTCAAGTTTAACACTGCTAAAAGTGACTGGATCCATTTAACAGGGACTTTTCTATCTGATTTGTCATTAGGAATTCAGAAGGCTTCTGAAGAAGGAAGACAAACCTCTTCTGATGATGTTCTATGCTCCATGTAAGTGCTCTGGCACTTTTTATCACTGTCTCCTATGACTGATCATCCCTCATCTCTACCCTGAGCTGAGTGGTGTTCTCCTGAGCGCCTCCTCAGTGACTTAAACATTCAGCTCCTTGAACTGACACACTGCCCTTATAATTTGTCTTCAGTGCTCCTTTGGGTTTCCTCCACTCCTGGCATCTACTCTCTCTCCTGGCCAACCATTTTTCTTGCCCTATTCTTTGCTCTAATTCTGTCTCTCTACCATCTTCTGATAAGTGTCAGGTACTGTCTCATCAGGCCACTGGGTCATATCATTTGTACATGACTTGTTTTATGCATGTCTGGCTTTCTCATGTTCTCTTGCACTATGCTAAGTGCATCAGACCAAATGTATGCAGTATTGTGGGCACAGCACTCTGCCCCATACAATAATATAAATGCACAGGGTCTATACATACTTTCTGTCATGGTCTCCAGATCTTATAAGTAGCAAATCTCCAAGGGAGACTACAGCTCTGAGTGCAGCCCTGTCTGATGTATGACAGAAAGGAGAACTCATTGCTCATGGTGCACACCTGAGGCACAGTGGTGTGCCGAGTAAATGTAACCCCCAGTCCCTCCCAGCAATTGGGAATGGGGTTTGGTGAGGAGGAAGTAGAAAAGAAAGCATACCAAAGTTGTAACAAGTTAGAAAATGACAGCAATGTAACAGCCTGACATTGTGTTGCCAGAAGCTTTACTTTGTTGTGTGAGTACATGGTGCTTTCTGACTTCATTCTGCAAACTTTACGGTGTGTGAATATCGAATTGTTGCTATTAGGCAGTTTCTTCAGACTGTTCTTCAAACATAAAGCTCTTATGGTCGAGTACCATTGCACCAGAGCCACTGATCACTTGGAAAGCAGGCAGGCCACAGAAAGGGAACAGTTGCTCAACCATTGAATTTGCATTGACAGTGGGATTGATGTTAGATGTCACCTGCAATTTGTGGTTATTGCTTTGTTAAAATGAGCCTCCCATGTCAGAACTCTGATAGTACCAAAGGATACTTATCTGTGGCTTCCTGATTCCTCATTGTGTATAATTCTACCTCTAGTCTCACGTGAATATTGCTCAGATAACCAATACTGCCCATGACTTGACCTAATGGATCAGGAAGAGCGTGTGCTTTCCTTTTCATGCCATATACTACAGCACCTTCCTTTCTACTTTGCAGCTGCAGAAGAAAGCTCAGGTTCTACCTCTTATGTGGCTGTGCCATTTTCTGATTTATAGTATACATTGTAGTGGGCTACTGCCTTGTTTCAGCATGAGATGATTTGCTTGTTCTGGGCTTGTAAATCACCCCTAGAGGGACATTCCCAGTTCTCTGAATGCTTTCACTGTTTACCTCCTCCATTTGTAATCATTTCCTATAGGTCTTCTCCCCAGATGTACCTTGTCTTTACCTTTTGTTCTCTTTGTACCGTTCCCCTAGCTGCTCTGGTTTTTCCCAGGCTTCCTTTCTCTGAAAAGCAAGGTACCTGCCAGCTTTCAGTACTTTTACTGCTTCTAAACTGCGTGAGGAAGCCTGAGTTTCTT